ACAACCTGCTCCAGCAAATTCCCTTTACTAATCATACAACCGAATTGCAGCTACATTATTAAGTGTGACTCGCCAAACATCACTTGCTCCCTCAACGGGGGCAAGATTTCAACGCTCTCTACCAGTCGTGAGCCAAGGCCACACTCAACGTGTACACAAAAAGGAAGCGTTATGAACAGTGAGTTGCTTGAAAAGGACGGAGTGGTCACACCTGCCAAAACAGAAGCACGAGGGAGGCTCACCCGCCTCATTTGTCACCAATAACTCCATTAGCACCACCTGGCCCGTCACCCTCGGCCACAACCTGCCACTCCCCTACATCAACTTCCTCACCAGCAGTTGTTGACCACATCTGTCTAGCGCTTTACACTTATTTATTTAAGTAAAGATTGGTGTTTTCTGCAGGAAGTTTTATATTGCCAAGTTCTTGATAAAACTCACTTTTTTACAGTGTCAACGGAGCAGCACAAAGACCCAAGTTGTGTTGCTGCTCAAAAAACTTTTTTCCCATTTCTTCTGCCAAGAAACGACTACGACCGTCTCTCACCTCCACAAAAAATAAATCTGGAGGCCAGAGCACCAACAACAGCGCCAGGCTACGCACATTCTCCTTCGCTGTTGAGAGACAGACAGAGACAGACAGACACAGACAGACAGACAGACAGACAGACAGAGAGAGAGAGAGAGACCTGGGAAGTCACGAGTGAGGGAGGGAGGGCGGGCGGGGAGCTAAAGTTGGGCTCTAGCTCAAAAATTAAGTCATTAGCGCCAAGGTCGAAAAATGGAGGTGGGAGACTGGGACCAAGCGCCAAGTGACCTGCATCAGCCAATCTATGGGGGAGCAGCTGCCGACCTGCCTGTCGCTGTCACCACCGCCACACAACTACGACCTTCCTGTTACCGTATTCGAGAAGATTAGTAGTGTCTGGCACCTGGAGGCAGGACTCCCAGCGTAGGATAGTGGTGAACACATTTACCCTCTCACCCCCTGCCTACTCCTACCTCCTCCTTCTCCTCTCCTGGTTTAATAAACCACTTCGTCATCATCCTCTTCCTATTACACTCAACTTCTAACTAGCCTCGCTCTCCACACCCTACCTAGCCTGTCCCTGCCACCCCCTCCCACCACTCTCCTGTCCCAGGACTCCTCTCTCCCCCTTGCCTCTCGCGGTTCCTTCCCCGTGAGCAGCAGCAGCGCACATTGGGCCAAGACATGATATACATCACCCAGTGTACAAGAAACACGTCAAACTTCCCCATTGCGTAGCGGGTCTTCACTTGGCCTCCTGAGGTGCGGTATTCCAACGTCTACTGCGTCAACTGGGCTTATCGGTAGCGACACACGCGCACAGTTCACTAACCCAACGATGTGCAGGCACCGAGGCGCAGTTCACTGATGTGTGTACCCATGAACCCAGACTGACAGGGAGAGTAACCCGGAAAGTGGTGTACGAGGCGGTCATTAGCCTCTCCACTATACCAGGTATCCTCAGTAATGAGCATGTGTGCTTGCTCGTTTTGTAAACATTAAATTGGTAATTATTTTTAAACTTAATAATCTTTCAAGTATGTAGACCCACAAAGCTGTGTGCCCATATAAATGGTATTAAGAGATGTGCAGTAGGCAGTGTATGCATGTACACTTTAATAGAGCGTGACAATACACTACTCTTGCCAAGATAATCTTTGGCAACTGTATATAGTGTACAGTATATACGCCGCATCCTCCACGAGTTAACATGACAATGTCACTCGTCTCAACTACTGGGGTTACGGCCATCACTCACTGATGGATATACACACCAAATTAACCTAAGCAGAAAAACATACAAGAACGTAGCTAGATTTAGTAGATTCGTGACCCAGTCGTGAAACATTTACGGCCGTATCCTCTGCACGTGAAGAGTTTGGGTACAGCGCATTACTGGTGGACACAGTAAACAGACGTACATATATTACTGGCAATAAATTATTGTGTCTGGCTGTGTTAAGTGCGCCACAAAACTACGACATTTTGTAATTTATGCACCGTTACCCGCCGCCTCACACCTACTGTATATCCACACACACCTCATACCTACTGTATATCCACACACACCTCATACCTACTGTATATCCACACACCTCATACCTACTGTATATCCAATAACACCTATACCTACTGTATATCCACACACACCCTCATACTCACTGTATATTCAATACCCCATACCCCACTGTATATCCACACACCTTCATACCTACTGTATATCCCACACATCTTCATACCTACCCCAATAACCTCATACCTACTGTATATAAACCCCTACACCACACACACACCAATCTCTTGCCACCTACTGTATACATCCAATAATCTCACACCCACTGTATATCCACACACCTCATACCCACTGTATATCCACACACACCCCATACCTACTGCCTCCACACACACCCCATACCCACTGTATATCCACACACCCTCATACCTACTGTATATCCACACACACCACCAGAACCCCCTACACCCTCACACACCACCCAGAGCCCCCCACCCCCACACCCCCCACACACACACCACCAGAGCCCCCACCCCTCTCTCACACACACACACCACCAGAGCCCCCCACACCCCCTCACACACCACCAGGGTCCCCACACCCCTCTCACACACACCACCAGAGCACCCCACACCCCCTCCCACACACCACCAGAGCCCCCCTCTCACACCCCCCCACACACCACCAGAGCCCCCACACCCCTCCCCACACACCACCAGAGCCCCCCCCACACCCTCCCTCACACACCACCAGAGCCCCCACACCCCCCCTCTCACACACCACCAGAGCCCCCCACACCCCTCCCCACACCACCAGAGCCCCCCACACCCCCCTCACACACACACACACACACACACACACACACACACACCCCTCACACACACCCCACCAGGGTCCCCCACACCCCCCTCTCACACACCACCAGAGCACCCCCTACACCCCTCTCTCTCACACCACCAGAGCCCCCCACACCCCTCACACACCACCAGGGTCCCCCCCCCACACCCCCACACACCACCAGAGCAGGCACCCCTACACCCCCCTCTCACACACCATCAGAACACCCCTACACCCCTCTCACACACCCCACCAGGGTCCCCCACACCCCTCTCTCTCTCACACACCACCAGAGCCCCCACACCCCTCCTCTCACACACCACCAGAGCCCCCTTACACACCTCTCACACACCACCAGAGCCCCCCACACACCCCTCTCACACACCACCAGGGTCCCCACACTCTCTCTCACACACTCACCAGAGCCCCCCTACACTCTCTCACACACCACCAGAGCTCCCCACACCCCCTCACACACCACCAGAGCCCCCCCACACCCTCGTCCAGACTACTCTCCAGATGAGGATAACTTCATGTGCCAAGAGATAAAGATACGTGGAAGAATACGAAGAGAGAGAGAGAGAGAGAGAGAGAGAGAGAGAGAGAGAGAGAGAGAGGGGGGTGTGAGAATGCAATAAGAAGGAACATTATTTCTTTACCTGGCAATTTATGCGCACAAAGTAATATGCAAACCATTTCAACACTAACGCTACCTGGCGAAGGGGGTTAGGTTAGGTTAACTTCTAGGTGGTTAATCTGAAGGTGAAATAAGGTGGAGTAGGGGCTCAATCTTCACATGCCCCAATATGTCGGCCGGTTGATACAATATGTACTTCTTACAGCTCGATGGGAAAATCTAACGCGTCGTCAAAACACTTGAGAGGGGTCTTTAGCGATAACAGCAGGCAAGAGAACTCCTGTATAGTGTATATCTGAATTAATACTCCACACATTAATCAAACCAGCATTACATTACTATGCATAATAATAGCAGGTATAACGTGGTACTTCTACCCAAGTGTTAAATGCCAAACTCATTCGCATATTCTATTTTCATTAAGGGTGGCGCCTGCACTGTGTCGGCATGTATGTAAATAGGTCATGTTTCACCCATAAGTAACAAATGAAAACAAAAGAAACGGATGTGTTCTTTCTTAACATGAGCGTCACTGGCACCATCATAGAAAGTGGGACAGAGCGTGGAGACAGAAAACGTTAATTTAATGGCATACTTTTACAACCCTAAGAAAATATTCCATGATCGCTCCAATGCAAACACTGACCAATTGGAGTACCACCAACTTCACACAGCATAGTAGTTGCAGTTTTCGGACTCTAATCGCCGCCACTCCTCACCACCCGTTTATTCAGTCTTAATCACTACAGCTGTCCAACAATTTATCTAACAATACAGCGGTTAAGATGAGATTCAAAATTTGTTCTGTTCCTGCAGTTAATTTTACTTGTGAAGAAAAAACAAAAATTTATCAAAAACCATTAACTTCAAAATATATAGGAGCCTGTAAAGGTGCACCATTGTATAAATTACTCTACTGAACTTTGCACAGAGTGGTAAGGGAAGAAACCAACGACCAGAAGAACCAGTATAATGCATCCGAGAACTGTTCTTGGGCCCATCGACAGAGGTGTGGACCCAGGGCCGACCACACTGATCCTGTACAGCCATTCAATAAGTATGGAGAACCCAGACGTCCAATACAATATGAAACCTCGGATACACAACCGATACAAGCCGGTTTCTATTCCACCGGACCCTGGGGTCTCCATACTTATTCAACTGACTGTACAGTGAGAGTGGAGTATCTTCCCAGCTCTGGCCAAAGTATTAAACCTCACTACCCAAGGTTACACAGAATTGCCAACGGTTTATGAGCTCTATACACACGTACGTACACTGCCATCTATTCGTCAATGCCGCCATGAAGATCCCTCATTTTCTCACTATACACAAGAGAATCTTGTTACCAAAGCTTCGAGGCGATAACTTACCACTGCTGGCTTGTACACGTGATCCTTCAGCACGGCGCTGGTGTCCCTGCCCTTAACCCGCGGTTTTGGAGATCTGCGGGAGTGTGCCTGACGGTGAACCTTCAAACTCACTTGTTTTTCTGGAACCTCTGTTCCAGTCTTCTCCACGGCTTCCCTCTTGGCCTTCTCCTCGGCCTCCCGCTTGGCCTTCTCCTCGGCCTCCCGCTTGGCCTTCTCCTCGGCCTCCCGCTTGGCCTTCTCCTCGGCCTCCCGCTTGGCCTTCTCCTCGGCCTCCCGCTTGGCCTTCTCCTCGGCCTCCCGCTTGGCCTTCTCCTCGGCCTCCCGCTTGGCCTTCTCCTCGGCCTCCCGCTTGGCCTTCTCCTCGGCCTCCCGCTTGGCCTTCTCCTCGGCCTCCCGCTTGGCCTTCTCTGTTACTTCCCTTTCGGCTTTGTCAACGGCCTCTTTCTCGACCTTCTCAATTACTTGCTTCTCGGCCTTGTCGACAACTTCCTTCTCGGTCCTGTCGACAGTTTCCTTCTCGTCCTTGTCGACAGCTTCCTTCTCGGCCTTGTCGACAGCTTTCTTATTGGCCTTGTCGACAGCTTTCTTATTGGCCTTGTCAACTTTTGTCGAAGCTTTGCTCACTTCAGCGGGAGTCTGTGTGGGGGGAACGGTGAGGGCCACACCATTACCTACGGCACCATCAGCCTCTTTACCCTTGGGGACCTGGGTCTCCTGCGATGTGGCGGCAGCAGCTTTATCGCCGGGGAAGAAGTGCATGCAGCGTAGAATACCCTTCGGTGTTTTGGGCGTCCGGGGAGTTTTGGTCGTCTTGGTCCCCATACCTGAGCGATGGATGGACCAGAAGGTGCAGTAGCGGCATGAGGAAGGATGAGCCTGTTGATACTTAACGCCCACCATCCTTACAGGCGAAGGTCACCACGCTAACACAGGATCTGCCTTCACACTAACACAAGTCACAGTCTCGTCAAATGTTTATGCACGAGCAGTTTCAGCTCAGAATACGAAAGTGAGGAGTATTTCTGAGCTAGAGCGCCACGGCTATGGTAAGAAATGTATAACGCGGCGTCAGACTATAATGGCTCTCGGCGCGGACAGCCAACACGTCACAACCTACAACAATTTCTAAAACCTGGTAAATGGTGTGGTGTGTTTAAAGAGGGCGACGTCAACACCTCCGCCTAGGGAATTAGTCACGCTGCTTTACCACCAGCCGGTTCCTCTGACGCCAAATGTAACTTGAAACGCACAACTACCCATTACTAAATGCGCACTTCTCTTAACCTAAGTGTATCCATAACTCACACAGGCCTGTATGACAAAGTTCACGAATTATTACACAACTGCAGGTTAATGTATAACAGTTCAGACAAATCCACCATTACAAGTGTACGGAGGAAGAACACGTGAGGCGCGTAGTAGGCCGTGACGGCGAGGCGCCAGCGGCCATGGAGAAACAACTGGTTGCCTCCCTGCAGTAACTCGAGCACCAGGCCAGGCCCCGCACACACCCACTTCAGTTATCTCGACTCCAAAAAAAAAATCTCCAACCTAACTTGTATCGCCTCCAGGTCTTTGAATACTTCCCACGAAATTGTCTTGCAGCACCAGGTCCGGGCAGGAGGTAGTGTGTGCTGGTCAATGTCTGAGCCACTTGTGTATATGAACCATGTATGGGTCACGTAAGATAACGGTATGGCTCAAACCCTAAGGGGGGGTCTACCATGTAACCACCCCCCCACCCCCAAAACCATCCACTTCCCCAACCGTACAAACATGACCCCATTGTGTTGTATAATTTCTATTCGATTTAGTTTTCTCGTCATATAGTAGAAAATTATTCTGATAGAATAAACAAAAAAGTCATTTAACCAGCAGTTCCGTTATGGTAAAAAGAACACAAATTTCAGTGGTTTCAGACAGTTGCAGCCGACATGGTGTGGGGGTGAAGGTCAGACATGTGTGGGGGGTGACATGGTGTGGGGGTGTAGTTAGGCTGTGACATGGTGTGGGGGTTAGGCTGACATGGTGTGGGGGTGTAGTTAGGGTTGCATGGTGTGTAGCACAGAGATATGGTGTGGGGAAGTTAGGTCAGACATGGTGCGGGGGGTGTAGTTAGGGTCAGATATGGTGTGGGGGGTGTAGTTAGGCCAGACATGTAGTGGGGGGGTGTAGTTAGGCTCAGACATGGTGTGGGGGGGTGTAGTTAGGTCAGACATGGTGCGGGGGTGAAGTTAGGTCAGACATGGTGTGGGGTGAAGAGGTCAGACATGGTGTAGTTAGGTCAGACATGGTGTGGGGGGGGTGTAAGACAGACATGGTGTGGGGGGGTGTAGTTAGGGGCAGATGGTGTGGGGGGTGTAGTTAGGTCAGACATGGTGTGTGGGGGTGTAGTAAGGTCAGACATGGTGTGGGGGGGTGTAGTTAGGGTCAGACATGGTGTGGGGGTGTGTTAGGCTTTATGGTGCGGGGGTGAAGGGTCAGATATGGTGTGTGAAGTAGGGTCAGATATGGTGTGGGGGGGTGTAGTGAGACAGACATGGTGCGGGGGTGTAGAAGGTCAGACATGGTGCGGGGTGTAGTTAGGTCAGACATGGTGCGGGGGGTGTAGTAGGTAACATGACCCACGAAAGACTATCACGACAGCGGCAGGCGAGTACTGTACTACCCATCGTTAGCTACCGGCGATTAACTACACTATAGCACCTATATAGCCCAACGTTTAAAGTAGGCAGCAACATCACTACTGACGGGGGTTAACCTGGTGTGCCGGGACACACTTGGCGACACGATACCTTCTGCACATACTGTAGTTCTTAAGAAAGGTATTTAATATTATATAATTTTAATAAAAGTACATTAAACTTACCATTTTCATTTTTGTACACCTAATACAGAGTAGTCTTAATCTATACGTTGAATGGATATTAATCTCTACTGAAGACTATAGATTATATTCCAGGGGCGTCTACAGGATGATCAGTACAGTAGTTATATAAAGACAAACATGGAGGTTACAGACTGGGCCAGTTCCCACCTGTGTTAATTAAAGATAAACAGGTATACCATACGTCGTGTTGAGTATACAGTAAATTATTAAAACTGACAATTAACACCATATAACGATCTTTACAGTTCCCATACAGGTATGTTTATATCTCGTATTAAACGGTTAGCTTATTAAAGGGCAATCACCCCCCCCCCCTAGTTGTGTGGATGTCCTGGTATTTATTGAGGAAGGGGTTATATGACCTGTAATTCCAAAGGAGTAAAATTCGACGAAAACTAGTGTGTGTGTGTGTGTGTGTGTGTGTGTGTGATGCGGGCACAATGTGGCCAGCCAGCGTGAACAGGCAGGAGGATCAGATGTCCAACCAGGAGGCAACCCCGACCCCCCACCATTCACCCCCCATGAGCCACTCCTCTTACCTAACACCAACAACCCCCCCCCCTTTCAATCCCTCCCCATGAGTTACCTCCTACAGAGCATCCAAGCTCCTACCCTACCCATGCCTTACCTTTCATAAGTATTCCCCATGCCTCACTCACCCTCCATGCTGCTGGTACCGAGTAACCATCATATTGTCAACAAGTCTATCCCCACCACCACCTCACCCCACACCGCCACCCCACAGCTTCTTGCCCACCCTACACCACCACCACCACCTCCCCACACTACGTTCTTATTGGATATACCGCTAACCTACACTTGCATGACCCTAAGGCTGTAAATAATGACCATCAGCCGTGCTCGGTGGCAAGAACAGTGAGACTACAGGTACTACTAAATCAAATGTAAAACGCAAAGAAATTAAAAGCATAATGTCAAGACTCGAGGAATTTATGGCCTAAACTTGAAAACAGATAAAAGTGCAACTGGCACTACACACAGCACCTGGGCGTCGACACTAAACAAAGGTAGGTGTGTGTGTGTGTGTGTGTGTGTGTGTGTGTGCATTCCTGGGACGAGTGGCAAGCAGCCAGGTTCTTGGCGAGATTTGTATCGGGAACCACAAATTCCTTAATACACTGGAGATATATTTGGGCTTCGTTTTCATCTACGTTTTCTTGCGCGTCTGACCTACCCAGACCAGCGCCACACTTGCACAACGTTTTCTTTGCCTCGCCCCATTCTCTTTCACTTAGTATTATTGCTTCGTTTTCCCTCTCAATATTATGCCGCGTTTTCTCTAAAGATCTTAAGGGTTACTGCTTCGTTTTTCCTCATGCAGAGATAAGGGTGCAGCGTTTTCTTTCACACCAGCTTCGTCGACTTTCGTTTTCTGTGGTCCACGTCTTCTGTCATGCTGCGATTTTGGTGAGCAACATTCTCTCCTCTGTAATCCCGAGCCAGGAAGACTTAGATCAAAGAGGGCGACCCAGTTGGCACCCAGAGCCACATACAGCAAGTGCCAGAGGCTACAACTGACGCCTTCCTTACACTGGCAAAATGTGTGTGATGACAGTTACGCAGGAATGGCACGCTAACCTCTTAAAATATACAACCTTCATGCGTATTATGTCGCTGCTGCTAGGGATTATAAGCAGAAGGTTACTATAAGACCAGTGGGAGGTCTGTTGGCCTGTAGAATGTTAAGGAGAGGAATGTTGGCGCTTGCTGCGAGATACAAGTGTTATAAAAAAACCTAATTGATAGAAAACACGGACATACCCAAGCGTGTCATTAACATTTCTAGCTCAAAACTAAGAGGTCCATCCAGATGGCTCGCCTAAACTTACACATCATGTGAATCAATAACCTCTTCAGTGAGGACTGTCGGCAAGGATGAGAGAGAGAGAGAGAGAGAGAGAGAGAGAGAGAGAGAGAGAGAGAGAGAGGCGACCTTAGGAGTCATGGCGGGTGGTAATATGTATGTGTGTGTGTGTGTGTGTGTGTCATGACAGGTGAGCGGCGGTTGTGAGACCACCACCTGCTGACAGTTACAACACATTAACTCTTACATCTATTGCCTAGGAACTACAATATATCACCTGTTACCTAGGAACTACGCCGTCTACACCACGCCCTGTGCAACTATCACCTAGAAACTACGCAACTTCTACACCCGTGTACAGTACACAAAACTACACAAAAAGGAAGCAGAATTCTGTACAATACTGAGGAATGTTATTAAGCACTTCCGCCATGCACTATTACGGAGAGGAAATGTTCAGTTATAATAAAAATGGTGTTAAACTAATGTCCCGTCACAAATGGATGGAATTCGTTAAGTACAGCAGCGCACCAGGAAACGTTGCCGCCACTTGACCCTCACTAACTCGTGTGTCTGATCACTAACAATGTTAAAGTCTCGCCGGAATTTGATTCGTTTTCTAGGCTTTGGGAAGACGAGGTTAAAGCATCCAACTTGCTAATGTGACCCAAGACGTGGGATATATAAACCTTTAATATTCCTTAAGATTAATGACTATTACCTGGACATTTTATACAGACGAATAATAATAAAACCGCATGTGGCATAAATCAGCCGAGAAGACTGGAGGGACACACTGCTGGGGTGAGATCTACCTGACAATAGGTCCACTGAACACGGTATCAATCCATCATTAACGTGAGAGTTGGTAAACATTTAGTGTGTGGCGCAGTTAGCACCCTTACCAACCCACCTAAACCTACTCGGTAACCTAACCTTATGTATACTCTATATGTCTGTTGTGCAGCTCGGCTCTGTCTTCTATAACCAGCTTGAGAATAATGTAATGGGCGAGCATATATTTAAACATTTGCCAAATGAGTGTACACTGTTTATACATGTAGAGGACACCGTGCTTGTGATATACTTTGACCTTCACCACTGGACGTTCTACATTTGTACTTTCATCAGACCATCCAACAATTTCCTTCTTTTCCTCGAGTTTCTATTCTCTTGTTCCATTTC